CCGAAATTTTACGCGTGACTAGTGACAGCCCTCGTATACCAAAATTTATCGTCCAAGGTCTCATATTGTTTCCCACAAAGTATGGACAGATAGTTGTTTTAGCAACTGTACAATATTGTACTATCATGAGTGAGAGGCAGTGTCGGTGAGATGCAGTGGGTGGGGGGAGGGAGGAAGGTGATTAGGTGGTGATAATAAAGGTAGTTGTGGTGATGGTGGTAAGAAAGCAGAAAGGTGGGGGTGACTCACCTATCGTAATAGTAGAACATTCTTTCCTTAATCAGTAAATGGGTCGTTAGGATTCGTTCAAAGGATTAACCTTCAATGGGGACTTAATGTACCATCACCATTGTTTGAATTATTTTACCTAAAATCTTAAAATTTTTCTGTGGCTGAATGTGTGTTGAACTTATAGCTAACCAATCACAGAGCAGCAATACGGGCAAGTCCATTCTAAGAGTGGAGGAATACCGTAGGCTACTCACTCACGGGTCAAAGAGGAGGAAAGACGCTAAGAAAATACTGGCTGGTGGCAATTTCAAATGACTGCACTCAGCAGGAATTTTAAACGACAAATATTTAAGGGTTTGGACAAATGTTTCTTGCCCAAAAAGAGTCTGGACTATCTGAAATGTGGACTTACAATGTCCAGACTTTCAAGGCTTTCCTGTATTCCCAACTGACAATATTGTATTTTTTTTTTTTATTAATTAGTATAATGTTTATTTACTCCTCACATTTACTGGTACTACAGTATACACGTGACCCTGTACCCCAATAGCCTCGATAATGAGAAGTATACAGTATATAAAAAAATATGTGGGGAAAGTTGCCAGATGGGAAAGCATCTTCCTATTTACAATAATTCTTATGGGGAAAATTTGCCCCGATATTCACAAATTTGTTATTCATAATTACTTTTAGGAATACATCTCTTGTGATAACCTGGGTATTCCTGTATACATAACAATAATAAATTTTTACTGCTTTAACACTGTATTCTTGGCTGATTGTGTTCTGGTACAGTAATGTATAGTAATGCACAACACAAATTAAACACAAAAACAGCAGCAAGCGAGGGATCAACCTTATACAATGGCAGCAGAATAAGAACTAAGCATGTGAGCCTACAGCGTAAGTTACCCAAGCAACTAGCCCACCAATGCATCTGGCACCTGGGTATGCATTGGAGCATGATGCAATCTCTTGGAACTCCTGTAAATTTTTTCCCTTGCCCGAAATGGAGATATATGAAAAGATTTTCTTGGACTTTTTCTGGAAAATGCGCATTATTTCATCCTTGGAAACTTGTTCTCGTACACGGAATGGAGAGTTTCCCTGGAAGGCTCAAAATCCATTCCTGCTATTGGAGAGTTCTGGGGACTGGGGATTCCAGCTAACAGGGAGATTACTGTAGTTCCCACCACAACCCTTAAAAGGGGTCTTGGAGACATCAACTTTCACTTACAACTTAAGGTCAAAATTCTTTCCTCAATATTACCTATTTTATTCAATTACAAACTATTGTTTCATCACGTGAACCTTCAGTTCCCACCCACCTCAGTGTTGCCTGATGGGAAGATGTAGATACTGGGATGAAGGAAGAAAAAATTTTTTCCAAAGGTTAGTGCAACTATGCACCCCAAAGAGGGTAGTTCTTTTAAAACAAAGGAAAGAATAGAGTGGGGATATAAGTGAAAAGCAGTTTCGGTTCATGCCAGGTAGGGGGACGACAAAAGCAATACTTATGACTACAGTAAACCATCAACAATCACGGGTTTAACTTTCACAGATTTGACTATTCACGGGAACAACCATTGTATACCTGCTCATCATTCACAGGCAGGAGGTTTGGTTATTCACAGTTTGTGGTCGTATTTTCCCATGGTTCTGTTGACTGCGGGAAGCTAGTGTTTACTGTACACAACAATACCACGTGGGACGCCTCACATCACAGTAGGCTCTCTGTCTCAAGCCTCTTGTCAAGGTAACACCTGTAGCTCAGCTATTATTGCTCTTTTTGGTGACTTTTTGTCCCTAGTGATGCCTCCTAAGTATACAATGAGTGGGGTGAGTGGATCAAGTGCAAAGAGAGGCAGAATAAAGGGAAGACTAGGTTAAAATGTGGAGTTTTTTGATCGCCTTGCTCGGAGTGACAGTGTGGTGGCTGTGGGATGCCATTATGGTGTTAATGAGTAAACTGTGTGATCAATCAGGGAAAATGAGGCAAATATTCATGCAAGTGTCTCTGCAAGAGCTCACCCTAAAAGTGCTAAAGTAGCTTTTCAAACTCATGACACTAACATGGAAAAAATGGAGCACACCCTTAATTTGTGGATAGAAGACCAATCATAGAAAAAAGTTCCTCTCATCACCATCATTTTCATCAGTAAGTGCAGTACATTACAGTACTATGTTTTCACAAATATTCTATTTACTGTATTTAACATGTATTATATTACTCATAAAAGGTATCTCTTCGAGGGTGTAGATCCCATAACCCCATTTTTCCCATAAGGTCTTAAGTTCAACATCTGCAGATTTGACATTCACAGTATTTTTGAGGAACCTAACCCCTGTGAATGTTGAAGGTTTACTGTACTGCATACAACAAGAGAAATTATAGAGGATAAAATGTAGTTATTTTGTAACTGTAGACTTAGAAAAGCCATTTGATAAGATTACCATGTGAGGTAGTGCAGTGGGCAATGAGATAGTTAGCAGTCTTTGAGTGTCTTGTTTGAGTGGCTATGGCTTTGTATATAGACCTAAGAACCTCTGTGAGTGCAAATGATGGGGAAAGATTTTAGGACTGGTCTATGCTGGGAGGTGTTTTATGTTGATGACTTACTTTTAGTAGTAGATAACATTATAGAGATGGAAGAGTCAAAGGATATTAGAATGCACATGGCTAAAACAAAGGTTATGATTAGTGATGTGGGTAAAGGATCTGAGGTGAAAAGTGGAAAATGGCCATGTGCTCTGTAAAAAGGGTGTTGGTAGTAATTCAATAATGCACAGTGAGTGTGGAAGGTAGGTACATAGTAGACAGGGGGTTATTGCAGACTTTAAGTTTATTGTATGTGCAGATAATCAAGTGGCCTTAGCAAGGTTGGAAAAGCTTGACATTAGGGATATATCCCTAGATTGTGTTGAAAGTTTCTGCTACCTGGGTGACAATCAGTGCAGATGGTGCCATAGATAGCTCAGATGTGTCAAAAGTGGCCAGTAATAGTTCAGGGAGTTGTTATCTTCTTGATGGTGAGAAATCCTTCTATTTACTTGAAGGGAGTGTTGTACTGTATGCAACTCGCATGAGAAATTTGCTGTTGTACGGCAATAAAACATGGGCAGTTAAAGAGGATGACATAATGACATACATAGACTTAACGAGTCACAATGATAATGGTGAGAAGGATGTGTAATGTGATGTTAAGAGACATTAAGCCCTATTCAGGGCAAAGAGGGTAGCCGGGTATTGATAGCACTAGCAAGATTTTGTGCAGAAGTAGGCTTAGATGATTCAGGCATATAGAAATGGACACCAATTTGGTCATGAGGTGCTTGAGTCTGGATGGGAAGGGGAGGAGAGCCAGGGGTAGGCCAAGAATAAAATGAGAGATATAAAAAATTACTTCAGAGATAAGAACCTGATGAGAGATACGGAAAGACCATGCAGCTAGAAAGAGTTGCCATCAAGTAATCATGGCTAACCCATGCAGACTTGAAAAATGGTCATAAAACAATGTTGATAATGATCTTTCAATAATAACTCTGCCATACATTTTTTCTGGTATACCCAGTACTGTATATAACATATTTATTAATCCACAATTTTTACATTTATTTGTTTCTCAATTTAGTGGGAGCCAAACATGTTTGGCTCCCACTAAACATATCCTGTGGACTCTTTGTCCTGGTGCCTTATAACTCTCATTCTTACAGCCTGTCTCACATCTTCCTGAGAGACTATCCAATCCACCACATTCTAAACAGGATAATTCTGCCTTTCATCCGTCTACTTTATCAGCTGTTATAAATAATCTACCCATTCCCTTTGTTTTTAATTTCTTTTATTTACCTCAAATTACCCTCTCTCATTCTTAACTGCTGTTTCCCTTAGGTCTCCTGGTATTCCCATTTACAGTATTTATTTCCTTCCACAGTATCTTCTTGTTCTCTTTAAAACCTTGTAACAACCTTTATCTCCACTCACATTTGCTCTTTGTTTGCTTTATTTCACTATTAAGTATTAGTCAGGTTGACAATCCCTTATCCGAAATCCTTGGGGCCAGATGAGTTTCGGATTATGGAATTTTTCGGATTTCAGAATTTATTTATTTATTTATTTATATTTTTTTTTTTAACAGGTATCAGCCCACCCGGGCAGAGGTCACCGACCCACATTTGGGCCTGGAAAGCAAAAATGTAGTAATAATGATAATGATAATTCATAGGTCTAGGTCGTGTTCCTCACTTTTGATCTTTTTTCATTCTTGTATTTCGTTATTATTATTATTATTATTATTATTATTTTATTAATATTATTATTGTTATTATTACTATTGTTATCATTATTATTTTATTTTTGTGTATTTTTTATTATAAATTTTATTTAATATGAATTATTACTATTTCTACATTTTTGCCTCCGAAAGTCTTTTAGTGGAGCAAAAAAGTTTTGCTCCACTAAAATTTTTTCGGTTTTCAGAGGTTTTCAGTTTTCGGAAAAGGGGTTGTCAACCTGGTACTGTACTGTAGTACATAAATTATACAATTCTTCATTAATGCCAATGGGTAATCAAATACAGTATCAAGTGCTTTACATACAAGATTCAATACAACAAACTTAAAATATTAAGCACTAATCACTCGCCAACTCATTAAGCAACAATATATGAAATGGATATATACACTTAAAGCTCTAAGGTAATAACTAATAATTCAAAAGTAACAGTACGCCATTCTAAGAGTGCTGACAATCCATGACATGCACTTACCACTTACAGATGATGTGAGCCCAGTCAGCACTGCAACAAAATCCCAAGCATAACCACATTAGTCTGCGCTCCCAACACAAGATACTCAACTACTGTATCATATCAAAATTTGCATAAAATTTAGGAGTAAGCTGATTTGTGCATATCATACCAGGGTTAATGAACATGACAGCTTAAGTTTTATCTCACACATCATCTACACTCAAGTAATCTTTGACCTTGTTAACCAGTTTCTTTAACAATTAAGCATTCTAATAGTTCACGTGGTAATATTTTCATAATTTTTTTTAGATCAATAAAAAAAATTGATGGCAATGATGATGAAGCAAAATATTAACTAATAAGGTCTAAGATTACTGAAGTGCTCACTGCATAAAAGGACACAAAAATATACTTAACAAAGGCCATTCTGCATAACCCCAGAATAATAGTAATTTGCACTTGGCAACTGCCATATTCTTTCCAAATCAATAATGTGCAATTATTCTGACTGAGTAAAAGGTAGAAGGCATTCTTAGTTCACCTAAATTTTAATTACAAAAAGCCAAAATGATTCATACACTGACACTGGTTTTACATGATATTTCTCATGCAACTATTAATGATTGGAAAGCCAAAATAGCAATTACTGTACCTTGTTGCAAAGAAAAATCCCATAACCACTTCCGAGTAAGTACCTTACCACATTTGAATGAACTAACTGTTCAAAAGATGAAAATGCAGTGCCTATTGCATGAAAAAATCCATTTACGGGCACAGTGCTTATATTACAGATGCACTTATTACTTATGTCACTGGCACTACTTATCACAGGAAGCTCTGATAACTTATCGTTTGGGGGTCACTATGTATGATAGTTATGGTCCAAATCATACCCTAGTGAAATAGGACAGCGAGTAATTATACATAAGGAGTCTTAGTACAGGGGAAAACTGCTCTCACAACCTACTAAGACCCCAGGTTTGAGACCATAGTCATACAGGGTAACTAACAAGATATCTGCAATGCTGGGGCTCGATAAGTCAGAATTTGGGATCATTCGGTAAGGTCAGAACCCCATATGTGCCAAGTTATCAAGGGTTTACTATATTCAAATCACTTTTCACATTCTATATTTGACAAAGAACAGTTAAATAATATAGGCCATTTCTTTTGAATAAGGGGAGAGAGCCACCCATGACAAATCCTCAGGTATTACGCTACCTCCTTGCTTTCCAAAGTGGGTGGCACTCTAACTCACCTTTAGCATCTACTCAGTTCTTTTGAGGTAACCATGACAAAGAGTTCGGTGTCTGGGGAGCCAGATCCCAACAGTAAGGCAAACTAGATACAAATTCTTCAGAGACTAGAAATTATTCAATTGGGAGTGTGTGCTTTTTTTTTTTCTTTTTTTTTTCCATGGGATCCTCGGGATTTTCTGGTACAAAACAAGATTTGAAGTGGCAAATGACAGGTGCTCCACTTCATACAATCTGAACTCAACTGGTTTCTGGTTTTCTATGGCAATAGCAGTCTGTAAATTTATATAAAAAAAAAATAATACAGAGGGAAGGTCCAAGCTGTCCTTATGTTGAGGCTTTCACACAAAGAAAGCCTCACGAGATCAGAAATTTCTGAACCTAAGATGCTGTTTCCCTTAAGGCAAAATCCAGTCATTTGATATGGGATTTAAGGACTTCTTGTCATACTGACTAAGTATTTCACATACAGTGCCAGAAGGTAGGAGAGCCAGAGTTACCAGCTCATATTGTCAAATAAGGAGGATTGTTATTAAGGCTGGGTGTCATAAGTTCGTATTATACTAAGTAACCTTGAGATGCAATTCAAGCACTAAGCAGCTCCTTTAACTTAGTGTTGATGTGATCTCTCCCTTGAATGTAAACCCATTTCCATTTGAATAGACCTCTAATTTCCCTTTTTGTCATGAAAAATATGACAACTTCTGGGAAAAATAATGTTCTTTAAATACAATATGGCCACAATGACATGTTACAATCCATTAGGATTCATTCCCTTCTGGGAGGTATTCACAATAATTTTTTAGTTCGCAATGGAACATTCCTGTTCAATCACAGCCATGCTTATTGCATGGAAATTAGATGTACAAGCAGAAGCTATGTTGAGGAGCTGTGTGATGCCATCAGCTTTGTCTAAATTCTTTTCACATTCTCTCTCAACTGTTGAAAAACTGAATAAGAAAGGAAGTACTTTCCTGCCCATTTTCTCAATTTTAACAAACTCCACATTTGGGTTTTTTAAGATTTGTTTTTTCCACCAATATCGAATTTAACTTTGTTGTCTAGGAAAGCAAGTCACTGACTTACTCCAAAATCATGTTCCAACACAGCTGACACAAGGATTGGATTGTTACTGTTGTCCCAAGTAATGGCAGGATAAATGCATGGAGTGATGAGCACTGCTGATGTGGCAATGATGTGATTAACCTTATGGTTTAAATGGCAACTACTATACTTGAGAAAACCCTTTTCATAGGTCTGATTATTGGGGGATGGAGGTAAAATTAACCATATGATAAGTCCAAACTATATTTTTTTATTATTATTTTTTTTTTAATACAGATCTCATATTTCGCGCCATTTCATTTCGCGTTTTTGAATTTCGCAAGCACTACCTAATGTAACCAAGTCTTATATTTGGAGTAAAATATCGTGAATTTTGCGAGATCCAGCCAGCTGAATGCTAGATCCAGCGAGCTGTATGCTGGCCACCGTCTTGAATGACGTCACAGCCCTCATACCAGTTACAGTCTTTTCTGCTACAACGTGTGTTTTGTCAACACGAATTGGTTGTAACGCGATTGATGAATAGGGGAACGCTGTTTGAAAAACGTGAACTTTTGCATACGAATGTTGGCTATAACCTGATTCCATCTTCAATGTTTTGATTCCATCCTCAAAGTTTTAAGCGTGGCACGTGCCTTGTGTTTGTGAAGTGTTTTTTGAGAGGTACTCTGCAAAAAAAATTTTTTTTTTTTTTTTTCAAATTTATCTGTTATGCATAAATACTGTATGAAAGAAGGATAAGTTAAAAGAATATTTCACAGTGAGGACTAATAACGGTTTCCACCAGCACTCTCTGTTTACATCACCACATCATGTGATAAGTTGAATCGAGAGGTTTTTGTCGATTGCTCCGTGATTTTCACTGTTTTCTCCAATTTTGTTGTATTACCGATGAATATGGAAAGACAAGGTAAGAAGAATGTTTCCAAGAAGCATTCTGGTGATCGAATTGCCGGTGGTGAACGTAAAAAAGGTTTACAAGAACGCAACTATCGCGTTGTAGCCTGCAACAGCCCGGGCTGCTATTGTGTGCTTTTTTGGGTGGTGCTACCACCTGTCGAGTCAAGATAATTGCCCCTACCTCTACTGGGGGTCCTGCTGATGCTGGTGGGGGTGGGACAGACACACCTAAGCGGTCAAATAAGGAAAAGGAGAAGCGGGACTATCATAAGGGAGTTAAGTTTGTCAAGTACTCGATGCAGGATAAGCAGCATGTGATAAGTTACTTGAGAAAGGCCTAAAAACTAGTTTCCAGAAAGCACAATCAGGTTAATAAAGGCAGAATTTGTATCATTTGGAGGTTATAAATGGGAAAAATCAGAGGTTGATGTAGAGTGGCCAGTCTATATTGTTATTTTTCCCATTAGTTTATGTTTTTGCATTTGGCGCAATTTTTCCAGGCTATATTACTCGCGAAATGCAAGATCTTACTGAATATATATAATTTTTGTCACTTATTAGCATATTACCAATTTGGGCAATCTATTCAGTGATAGTACAGGAGGGGACCAGGAAACCTGAGAATTTTGCAAAGGTCACACTGGATAACACTCTTCTCACATGTCTGCGCCGAGGATCGAACACTTGACATATTGGTGAGAGTTACGTGCGTTACCGCTGTACCACCAACACCCCAAAGACTTATTGACTGCAAGACAAGATTTACTCACGTCTGGTGAGTAAATGAGATTTCAGATTAATCTGTCACAATATTTTTTGCCCAGATAAAATAAAAACAAACAATACAGTTCAATAAAATCTCCATAACATCCACACCCCAGAAGTAACTTAGGTCTATTAACCAAACAAAATTTTCAGCACTGAACAATGAATTTACCTTACAATGTGCCATGCTGCAATACGCAGGTGCTTACTTGTACACTCTAGGACTAAAGTCGTGGACAACTGCATGAAACCTACACTAGTGACTTCTGGCAACGAGGAAAAATTTAAACTGCAAGAGGGGTAGTTAACTGCATGTGATTTTTAAAGTAATATTTTATTTTAATTTAATTTTCAAACTTATTGAACTTATTTTATATATATCATAACAAAATTTTAACTTAGGATTTTCCTCACTGTCAGAGATCACGAGAGTAAGTTTCCTGTGGCTGTCCATGACTTTAGTCCTAGAGTGTACATGTACATAACAAAAATAAAAGATGATCAGTGAAGTATATGTAAAAAGTATATTCTGTATGCTAGGTCCAGGAACCAAGCCTAGTCGGATTGTAGAAGGGCTGAAAAAGATTTCCAGAGGAAGACTGCAAACAAGGCCAAGTCAAACCCTGAGGCTTTCTACTGCTACACAAAATCAAAATTGAAGATACATGTGGGCATATCACATCTGAGACTAGAAGATGGTAGTTATGCAGACTCAGGTTAGGAAAAGTAGGGTGTTTAATAACTTCTTTTCCTCAGTGTTCACAAGAAAGGATACAAACAAAATCCCTATGTTTGAGGAAAAACGATTTAACAGCACTTACATACACCGAGTTCTCAGAAAAGTGTACAGTATTTGAAAAAAATTTCAAAGCTAAAATTCATAAGAACCCTAACCCTGATAGTTTGCATCCCAGAGTGTTAAAAGAGTTATGCAATGAGCTTGCCAAGCCCCTTAAAATCATGTTCTTCCAATGCATGAATGAACAATTGGTTCCAGCAACTGGAAAGGAGCATATGTAAGTCCTACATTCAAACAGGGTGATTACACCACAGTGCATCTTA